ATGGGAGAGGGGAGGGGGAGAACCAGGGAAGGGGAGGGGAGAGCGGGAAGGGGAGAGGGGAGGGGGAGAACCAGGGAAGGGGAGGGGAGAGCGGGGAGGGGAGAGGGGAGGGGGAGAACCAGGGAAGGGGAGGGGAGAGCGGGGATGTGAGAGGGGAGGGGGAGAACCAGAGGAAGGGAAAGGAGGAATGTGAGAGGGGAGGGGGAGAACCAGGGGAAGGGAGAGGGGGGATGTGAGAGCGGAGGGGGAGAACCAGGGGAAGGGGAGGGGAGAAGGGGGATGTGAGAGGGGAGGGGGAGAACCAGGGGAAGGGGAGGAGAGAGGGAGGATGTGAGGGCGGAGGGGGACAACAAGGGGAGGGGGAAATGAGGGGGAGGGTAGAACCAAGGAAGAGGGGGATGGGGGAGAAGGAATGTGAAAAGGGATGGGGGAGAGAACAGCGAGTTTTAGTGAATATGGGGGAAGGAGTCAGGCGAGACCATACCTTAGAGCTAAAGGCAAACAGGTACCAGCAGGAGACACAGCCACCTCCCCAGGGGTCTCTGGCTCCGCTTGCGCCCCTAGGTACAGGGCTGCACTTTGCAACCAGGTCAGCAGAGAGATGCGGCTGCAGCTGCTAATGGGAGCCAGAGCCAGGAGGCCTAAGCAAAGCCCTCCGTTACCCTGGATCTGGTAAAGGAAGAAAGGGGAACTCACATTGCTAGGGGGTGAGGGAGAGAAGGGAGCATGCAAAATGGGGAGGAAGAAAGAGAAAAGCAAAGAAAAAATGTTGGAGGAATGAAATAACCTGTGGGGACAGCAGCCAAAGGATGTTTTTGTGAAAGAAAAATGGTAGGGGCCACTCACCAGGTATAAAGTGCATGAAGGGAAATGGCCCAAAGGGGGAAAAATTGGGGGTGGGAAGAGAGAGTCAATGTTTCCTGGGGCTGGGGAAAGAACAAGGAGACAGGCTGGGGTAGGGTGAGAGCCTGAGCAGAAAACTAAGAGCAAAGTGGGCAGCATGCTTTAGTAGTTGGAGCATGGAATTGAGGCTCAGAGAACCTGGGTTCTATTCCTGGCTCTGCCACTGGCCCACTGAGTCACTCCACCCCTTTGTGCCTCGGTTTCCCCATCTGTAAAATGGGGGTAATACTTGCCCTCCTTTATAAAATGCTTTGAGCTCCACAACTGAAAAGTATCATGTAACAGCTCAGTTTTAGAAGTCAGTAGAATATAAAATAAAGAAGAATCAGATTAAATTGAGGAGGGCTGGGGATGAAAAGAAAATGTGTGGCTAAGATAAAGAGAAGGCAAGCACCCATCTGGTCCAGATAAAGTGAATAGTTGCATCTTACTTTGTCAAGTATCAGAGGGGTAGCCATGTTAGTCTGGATCTGTAAAAAGCAACAGAGTCCTGTGGCACCTTTAACACTAACAGATGTATTGGAGCATAAGCTTTCGTGGGTGAATGCCCGTGCATCCGATGAAGTGGGCATTCACCCACGAAAGCTTATGCTCCAATACATCTGTTAGTCTTAAAGGTGCCACAGGACTCTCTGTTGCATCTTACTTTGTGCTACTCAGAAAACATCCCGCAGCAGTGTTGGTTTGTAAGAGGAGACATTGCATGGTGATATAAGTCAGACATGACTAAGTCATTTAATGACTCACCTGCCATTGCAAGTTAGGCCTTCCTGGTATTCAGTGTAAATTTATCCTTTCTTAACTTAAGCCCTTTGCTACTTTCCCTGCCCTCCACCCCCCCCCCCCCCACATAAAATAACCCTTCTAGGCTATATCCATGAGTGTTCCTAGGAGTGGGTCAAAGGAATGGACAAAGAATGGGTCCCTCTTTCTGAACCATGCCTTCGGGCCCGTTAATCTTGGGGGCAGCCTTTGGAGCAGGTACTGTGAGTTCATTTAGGCTCAGGTACTTGATGGCTCAGAATCTGGCCAATAAGGCTGCTCACTTAAAATGCTCTGTGCTAAAGATTTTACAGTTAGCGCTGGACTTTGAATTGAAACACTATCTCATTAATTTCTTGCTTTAACAAAGCAAAATAACAAAGGCCTCACATTCCACCTAATGTCTCTGGAAATGCCATGACGGAAGGAAGCCAGCCAAAACGCTTTCCTCCCCTGGGAGGCAGGAGGTGTACACCCCCCAAGAAGTTTTGGTTCTCCAAATGTGCACTTCATCCTAAATGTGTGTAAATGTAATGTTCATGAAGAGGGCTGGCTTGACAGCCCTGTGGGCTGATGTCTTCTGTTGATCCATAGAACACTGACAATGCAAGGAACAGAAGCAGTGTAAGCTTCCCACATCCTGCCACCTTAATTTGAAGGGGTCACATATAGAGGGCAGGGGTTAAAGTGACACTGTCACCTTGATACTTCTTTAAGTAACCTATTTTAAAAATCCCAGTTTCTGTAAAACAGCCTTTAAATAAATACTCTGTCCTGACATTTAAAAAAAATGTATAAGGTTTTTCTGCTCCTGTACTGATGTTTACCAGGGTCTTTCCATCATGGAAGAAACTGACTTTGAAGTCAGTGGGTGACAGGGCCAGGATATAAGTAGCCAGGGCTAGTGGTTAGCATAGGGCAGGGTGCTGGGTTCCCATGCCAGTGGGGGTTCAGAACCAGGAGGTCAGGAATCAGGCTTAGTCAGGGTCAGATAGCGCTTGGTGAGCAGCCCAAAGCATGGTGGAGCCCAGCACTTCCTTCTCCTGTCTCCTGACTTTGACTGTCAGTTCATGACCTCCTGGTTCTGAACCCTGGTTGGCATGGGGAGATGGTCCCTCCTACCCCATCCTACATTAATCACTGGCCAACTTCGTCCCAGTGTCAACAGTTTGTATGGATGATTTCCTGTTCCTCCTTCTGGCTTAAGTAGGGGGAGAGGGCCAACCAGAAGCTCCAGTGTTCCAGGCTCCAGGGTGATGCCCGCTATCTGAGCTGGTCTTCAAGGAGTTTTGATTCTAGTTCCTGCCAGTAAGTTGTTGGCTGCAGTGTGATGATAGGTAAGAACGCTGTGGACCTGGATTCAAGTTCCATGGATTGCAGGGATCTTCCCAGCAGGCAATTGTATTTGTACAATCTAACTTTAATGCCCCTTTTAATTTTGTTTTAAACACTCAAAGGTACCTTAGCCAGCCAGGGAATAGGCGTCCTTTTTATTCCCCCTTTTCCCAAATCTGCAGATTGAATTTGCCAAACCTTATGGAAAAACATAAACCCCTTGAGTTCAACTGGCCCTTTGCTGATAAGAGAAAATGGGCATCTCTTCTAGGAGCAGAAAACAAAGAGCAGAGATCTCAGAAGCGAGATTTTGATAGTTGATGCAAGAAGATGGGAACAGTCAGCTGTGAAGCAAGGGATAAAAGAGGAGATTTGAGGCCAAAGAAGTGGTGAGAACTAAGAGAAGGGAAGCAAAGTGTTTGATAGAGAGTGGCTGGGAACTAAAAGGTTGTGAAGTCAGAGCAGCACCCTGAGATTTCAGGCCCATTGTGATGGACTTGTACTTGTAAGCTCCAAGTTCAAAACTGGCTACAGGGAGAATGGATTTGGCAATCTTCTCCTCAGTGTTGTCAACCTCCAGCATTCAAAAATCATGAATAGGGCCTCCAAAATCTAGAGATTGTCTCTCCACTCATGACCTGTGAAAGAAATAATACAGCTCAGATTCTTTTATCTGCTTTCTGGTTTTGGAGCTTTTAGGGCCAGTTTTCAAGCTTTTCTCCACAACCCTGATATCTAGAACATAAGAACGGACACACTGGGTCAGACCAGTGACTGATCTAGCCCAGTACCCTGTTTTCCGACAGTGGCCAATACTGGGTGCTTCAGAGGGAATGAACAGAACAAGGCAATTATCAAGCCATCCATCCCTTGTCATCCAGTCCCAGCTTCTGGCAGTCAAAGGTTTGGGGAAACTCAGAGCATGGAGTTGCGCCCCTGACCATCTTGGATAATAGCCACTGATGGACCTGTTCTGCATTCACTTATCTAACCCTTTTTTGAACTGTTATACTTTTGGCCTTCACATCATTCCCTGGCAATGAGTTTCACAGGTTGACTGTGTTGTGTGAGGAGGTACTTCCTTTATATTTGTTTTAAACCCACTGCCTATTAATTTCATTGGGTGACCCCCCAGTCCTTGTGTTATGTGAAAGGGTATATAACACCTCCAGATCTATTCACTTTCTCCACACCATTCATGATTTTATAGACGTCTATGATCTTCTTAGTCATCTCTTTTCTAAGATGAACAGTCCCAGTCGTTTTAGTCTCTCCTCATATGGAAGCTGTTCCATACCCCTGGTCATTTTTGTTGACCTTCTCTGTGACTTTTCCAATTCTAATATATCTTTTTTTAGATGGAATGACCAGAACTGCATGCAGTATTCAAGGTGTGGGAATACCATGGATTTATATAGTGGCATTATGATATTTTTCTGTCTTCTTATCTATCCCTTTCTTAATGGTTTCTAACATTCTGTTAGGTTTTTGACTGCCATTTTACATTGAGCAGATGTTTGCAGAGAATTATCCACGATAACTCCAAGATCTTTCTTGAGTGGTAACAGCTAATTTTGATCCCATCGGTTTGCGTATATAGAATTTTTCTTGTGGTTTTTATATGAAAGCTGAGATTTTCTTGTAATTAATTGACTCCAGGAGCTGGAGCTTAAGGAAAAATCACCAAATTGCACAAGAACTGTGATACAATCATGAGTTTGCAACATG